CTTTAATTAATTTTTATGCTCAGCAATACAGAATTTCAGACAGAAAAAAAATGCAGATTTTGCCGATTTTCACTAGCATTTCATTATATTTTAGAAACTCACCTTAAAACTCTCAGGACACTTTCTTTAAGGTCTTTTCTTGCTTTTACTCCAAATCTTATGTCGATATATCATGTCGTTTGACTTGTATTTTCTCTATACTGCTGTTGATTTTTTTTTAAGAAAGGAGGGGGGGGGGGGGGATATAAGCATTTGTTAGAGTAAGAGTTGCAAAAACCTCAACGACATTAAACTTGATTGTGACCTTTGGATCAATAGGGGGTAATTTATCAAGGTCAAGTCATCTAAAAAGAGAGAGATAAACTTGAGATTAACACTTGAAGTTGAATCTAGATAAAGGTAATGAATATTTCTTTATTACTTTTTGAGTAAGGGGTCAAAGGTCAAGGTCAAAGGTCAAGGTCATTTGGATTTTAAGCTTAAATCGACAATTTCTCTAGTTTTCCGATGACCTTGACCTACTCTTCAAGGTCAAAGGTCAAAACATCTCATGCAGTTGTGAGTCATGGACATTTTCTCTACACCACGCCCTTCAAAGGGAGGTAACTGCAATTTATCTAAGCTATCTAAATTGCGCAGAAATTGATTTGGTAGTGAAAAATCGCTATTTCCTAGATTCATTCAATTAAAATGAAATAAACTCTACATACAAAGGAGTTCAAGAATACTTGGTATTAAAATTTCGTATTTGAGCAGGAGAATCGAATGCTATTGACAAAAAGTGAAGAAATACCCAATACAAGCTTTAATTAATTTTCATGCTCATCAGCACCTAAATTTCAGACAGAAAAAAATGTAGTTGTTGCCGACACTCATTAGAATTTCATTATATACTTCAGAGACTCACTGTTAAACACTCAGGACACTTTCTTTGATGTGTCTTCTACTGCAATCTTTAAATTTCATGTCGATTTGTGTCGTCGTTTGAACTGTAGAAAATTTTTCCAGGTTCCTATTAATTTAAAAAAAAAAGGGAAAAAAAATGGGGGGGGGGTAAATAAGCATTTGTTAAAGTGAGAGATGTAAACATCCCCACGGACTCAAGCTTGATTGTGACTTTTGGGTCAATGGGGTCAAAGGTCAGCGTCATTTATCGAGGTCAAAAGTCAAGGTCATTCAAAAAACTTTTAAACTCGACTTTAACACTGGAAGCTGTATCAAGTTAAATATAAAAAAAAATAACTCTTGGGTAAGGGTCAAGGTCAAAGGTCAAGGTCAAACATCAATCTCAAAGGTCAAGGTCATGTCGCATATATAAGCAATTTAAAAACTTTTCCAATGACCATGACCTTTTCACCTTTGGTGTTGTTTTATTTCTTCTAATTGGAAGTTTTCGTTGTTTTTATTTTTTTTACTTATTTTTGGTGGAGCTGACATAAATCAAAACTACTAATTAGATGCAATAAAGTAATGAAAAAAATAAATTGAACAAAAAAGTTGGAATTTTCGATTTTTTAAATCACATCCTGTGACGACCGGAAGTGACGGCGGAGACATTTATCCCTATATCTGTTGTTCACTCTTCAAGGTTAATTATTCATATAAGTTAAGTGTCTTCATGTGTTACCATAACCAAGATCTGGCTATGTTAACTACTCAGTTTGAGGATAGGAAATCATGAGACCGAAAATCAATTTTTAACAGATATTTGTAGTTACTCTAGACATTTGCAGTCTGAATAACATGTTCTAAAATTATTTCATATACTCTTTCTATAAAAGATATTTATGGTTTTAGTATGATACTCAATTTATGCAGTTTTTCTCTCTTAACCGGAAGTTGCCGTTTTTGTTTCTGGTGGGACGGACATATATCAGAACAACCAATAAGATGCAATTATGTGATGCCGAGAAGTATTCCAAAAAGAAAAGCTGAAATTTCTGATTTCTTTGATCGCTTCCTGTGACGACCGGAAATGACGGCGAACGATCTTAACCCTTATGGTTTTGCCTACTTATCAAGATCTATTACTCATTCAAGTTTGGCGTCTCCATCTCTTACCGTTTCCGAGATCTCTTTGTGATAACTTCTAATATTGAGGACAGAAAATAACGCGACCGGAAGTGAATTTTACAAAGATATTTGAGGTTACTGTAGACATAAGCAGTCTTTATAACATATCTAAAAATCACTACAAATACTTTATGTATAAAAAATATTTATGGGAAAGAAAATTACACAAATTATGTAGTTTTTCTCTTATAACCGGAAGTTGTCGTTTTAGTTTCCGGTGGGACTGATATATTTCAAAAATACAAATAAGATGTTATAATGTGATGCAAAAAATGTTTCATGAAAGAAAAGTTAAAAATTTTGATTTTTGGGATCACTTCCTGTGACGACCGGAAGTGACGGCGGACAATCTTATCCCAACTGAATTTGCCTACTTATCAAGATCTACCACTTATATAAGTGTGGTGCCTTAATCTCTTATCGTTTACGAAATCTAGCTATGATAACTTCTCATTTTGAGGACAGAAAATCACGCGACCGGAAGTGAATTTTACAAAGATATTTGACGTTACTGTAGACATCTGCAGTCTGAATAACATATCCAAAAGTCATTTCAAATACCTTACGTATAAAAAATATTTATGGGAGAGAAAAATACTGAAAATATGCAGTTTTTCTCTTATAACCGGAAGTTGTCGTTTTTGTTTCCGGTGGGACTGATATATTTCGAAACTGCAAACAAGATGCTATAAATTGATGCAAAAAAAGTTTCAAAAAAGAAAAGCTGAAATTTTCGATTTCTTTCATCACTTCCTGTGACGACCGGAAGTGACGGCGGACAATGTTAACCCAAATGGTTTTGCCTACTAATCAAGATCTATTACTCATATAAGTTTGGTGTCTTAATCTCTTACCGTTTCTGAGATATGACTGGGACAAAACTTTTTTGAAAAAAGCGGAAATCAGACTTAACTGACGACCGGAAGTGAATTTTGAAAAACTGAAAACTGCATTTGAAAGATATTTTAACTCTCTATCATCTCTGAAAATTTCATTTGAATCCGTCCACTCATCTCCGAGAAATCGGCAAAACAAAAAGGGAAAAAAATAATAATAATAATAAAAAGAAAAAACAGTAGAATCACTATAAGGTCTTCCGTCTGAAACGGAAGACCTTAATAATAATATATTGGTTTATTCACCAATCAAGGGCCCACGGGGGGCATGAACAATTATTACAAAATGATAACATTGATTACAATTCTATATTAAGGATAATGTAACATGACTAGTGATTAAGTTTGACATTGAGAAGTGCATCACAACACTGGATCAAAAGCATAGAAACCATAGAATGATAAAAGAAAACACAATTAAATAAAAATGATAGATATAAGGTAAATTAAAAAAAAAAAATCTTGTAGTAATGGCAGTACTCTAATATAAAACTAGTGCATCTTGAATACAAAGGGCACCAGGGGATGATACCTCTACACAGCCAGTCTGGCAAACCTGTACCCTAAGTATTGAAGATGGTCATTCAAAAAAAAAATCATTTAAGTATAATAGAAATAATAATTTCAATTAATAAGTACTCAGCATATAATTAGAAACTTAATGCAAACTAATCTCTTGGAGTAAGTTCAATAGATATTTGACATATGCATACCCACATACACAAACACACACTTACTGTTACAGAAATCCATGCATACAAAAATAATAATTTATATACAAATATATGTATGTATAGCATATATTATATTATATTTGGTAAGAAGGAAATTCAACGTATTGATCGAATTTTGATTATTCAGAAATGAAGTTTCCATATTATATTTTCTAAGCAGTGTTAAAGGATACGTTAAGAGTTCTCAGTTTTGTTAAGGTTTAATATCCCTCTGATAAGTGAGATAACTTTCCTTGAAATACAATGGATTGTCTTGTCAGAATGTACATGAGTTTTTTTTATTGAGGACCATATTTATAGTCAACTGAAACAAATGTAATCAAAGTAGATATATTGAATTCTAGGTTCTATTGCCAATATTTTCATTAATTATCTGTTATAGTTTAAGTAAAACATTTATACTTAGGTTTTTAAACTGTGAAATTTTGATATTTCTTATCTCCTAAGATATGTCTTCTAATTGTTTCAGAAATTTCAGATGCATATATGTTTATAAACATTAAGTTAATATTTTGTTTTACTAAAAATATTTTCAAGAACGATAATAGAAAGATATAAGTAACTTGTTAATGGATGCATATTATTTTAAAAGCACAGAAAAATGTGATATTCTGCTTTAATTCTGATTTAAAAAGCAATACTTCATTATGTTTTCTGATCAGAAATAAATAGGTATGACATTATTTTCATATAAACCTTATACTTTTAATTTTATTTTGAGATAATTTTTTTTTTGGAAATTTCTAATCAAAATTTATTCACATCATGATTAGGCATAATATTCATTTCTGAAAAAGTTAGCAACGCTTCATGCATGCTTCAAACTTTTTTTTCCATTTATGAATCTAATGCTATTGTTATTGATGAAAATAAGTGTCTGGAATTTAAAAAAAAAATGTGAAATTAGGAGCAGAGGCATATTTCACTTAAATGCCAGACGACGCGTTCCTAAAAGATATATTTTCCCCAAGAATTTGTCTTTGAAATCTAAATACTTACATTTGTAAGGAGGCTGGGGGGTCAACAAATTAATCACAAATTAACCACCAGATTTAACTTATTTTTTTAGATACGGTAACTTAAGCTGTCTACTTTCATTTCACAAAGAAAAAATTCATACATTTGAGTTTTAAAATTTGATCATTTTTGTATATCTTCATATGGACCTCTCCTTTTAAAGGAGATAAAAATAGTCTAAAAATGACTGCCACTCCCCAGCCTCTTTAAACAAGTTTCCTCGCAAAAAAGGGAACCTTACTAGGCATTTGGATACAATATCACAGGGTGATAATTCTAAATATATAATCCATATGGGTAATCATCTGAATGTATGGCCTATATCAGAATGTTTGATATACTCGTATATTAAAGACATTTTAAAAACAATGTAGAAATCACAAGAGAATGACAAAAATGCATACTTTTTAAGGTTATACCAAGAAATACAAAACCCATATTTGAGGAACTTGTCGTCTGCATATCACAATATAACTGAACTGTATATACATGTATACATCAACAGTATTATTTTTACTGGTCAAATTAAAATTTTAGATATCTGATTTTGTACAAATGCTCCCTTTGAATCCCCCCACAAAATACCCATCGAAAGGAAGCTCCTTGTTTACCCACACTTTCCACCTCAGGTTAATTCTCTGACTTCATTTTCCACCTCAGGTTAATTTTCTGACTTCACTTTCCATCTCAGGTTAATTCTCTGAATTCACTTTCCACCTCAGGTTAATTCTCTGACTTCACTTTCCACCTCAGGTTAATTCTTTGACTTCACACTAGTCTACACATAGGCAGAAAAGAACATACGCCACTGCTATTGAATGATTTACTAAAATAACATTTATATATGGTGTATACCGGTGTCATATATATCAGAACATAAAAAATCTTTCTTATACATCATTAGAAAGACAGCCCTACAGCATATGTCTGAGTCAGTGTTCATGGGACTGTGTGACAAACTTGGGACTTCACAACTGGTGGCCATGAGGAGAGATGTGGTAGATATCAGTGATATGGTGATCAATCAAGTGAGAACAAGCGATGATGTCAATTTGATGAATAGCGGAAGTGAGAAAGAAGGATTTAGACTGGAGAAATCAGATATAGACTGTATGTTGTGGCCAAATAATCACCGTGTGATCTGGGAATTATCTCAGTCTCAGTATTACAACACAAACACTCAAACACAGATCCTCTGTGACTCTTCTGATAGTCCACCAGGATTTACTTTGTTATACTTACTGTCACCAAGCAGCTACAGAAATGTCCAGAGAGCATGTGTTAGAATGAATAACAGGTATTATATCTCCAGCTCAAAATACACAAAGATTCTGTGCTCGGTTGCCGATTTTCCTGACCCCAGTCCACATGGACCCTGTATCAGTGGAGTGTATTTTGGGGGTAAAGAATATGATTATGCCTACTGTTTTGCTTGTGACTTTTGGCCTCCATCTGCCTTCTCATGGATAGACAGATGTCACTCATGGCCACAGCCTCATGCTGTTGATGAGATAGTAAAGAATGGATGTCACTTTGTAGCAATAGGACATACACTTGGACACCATGTGCACAATGAATGGAGAATTTCTTTCTCTCTTGCAGAACATAAACTTGTGTGTGCTATGAAGCATTGTCAATTCTTATCATATGGCTTGCTTAAATTGTTCTTGACAGAAATAATTAACAATGAACTAGGTGATGGTGATAAATTACTGTGTTCCTATCATATGAAAACAGCAGTTTTCTGGATGATTCAACAAAATACATTACAACATTGGTGTCCACAAACTCTCCTAGAGTGTTCCTGGAATTTCTTCAAGCTCATTCTTAAGTGGGTGTTTTCATTCCCCAAAATAACATGTTTCTGAGTAAAGTCCATGGTGAAGCACAACATCAGCTATTTATAAGACTGCATGAGTTGTATGAGAAAGGTTTTGCATTCCTGCTACACAGTCCATCCATAAGGTCTTCTATTATAAAGGTCGTTTTCTACTCCCACATCTCCATCTGTACAGATGAAAAAAATGTGATATCTCAGATTAATTTTGATAAAGATCTCTTTGAAGAGATACACGTATATGCCAAAATTTCACACACCAAACCTAGAAACATGTATTGGGTCTCTACATACAATAGAACAGATCATAGACTCACTTTTCCTTACACAACATCAGGTCACACTGTTACAGAAATTTACAGCTAATGTTCTTCAGGGAACTGCTTTTATATTATACATGGAAACTTACACGCGTAAAAACAAACTGAGGTAGAGAGCGGACAAAATCTCCTGTCACATGCTGAAATAAGCAGCCAAGTTTAGTTTTGTTACTGACATGATGTACATAGCCATGTATTATTACAAGACACTTAGATACAAGGAGACTTTGAATATTACAGAGATAATCAAGGTCAAGTTAACACAGCCTTGTGTGATGTTTACGTCAAATGTAGATACAGAGATGTATACTGAGACTGTAGGGGGACAGGCGGTAGCAATGGATATCAACTTTGGCCAAGAAATTTATTACACCAATGAGTTAATTCCAGAACAACAGTTTGCTATACAGAACAAAAGACCAGTATACATCCCACCATTTGTTCTGTTATTTACAGGTATGCTAGAGATCTTGTGCTACAGACATGTATACCCAATGAGAGTACAAGTAGCTCTAGATGATCTACAGACCCTAGTTCACTATGATCAAGGACAGCTTATACCTGCATTATTCAGAGACATATCCTGGCAGATTCTGGGGATCTGTCAACAGGTGACAGGGAATCTCCAGGCTGCTTTATACTCATACCAACAATCTCTAAGACAAGCACCATTTAACAGCATTCATTGAGCTACAGAAATGAGAATACAGAGAAGCTTTCACTAACATGGCTAAATTAGTGAAATAAAATAAAGACTTTTGTAGAATTCCATTTGGAAGAATATATAATGTGAATATTTCTTCTCTACAATATTTTCTGAATGACCATTTAATTGAATAAAAAGTCATAAATCATTTTTGGGAGTTGAACTATGTTCAATCTCCCATGGTCATCACGTATTTAACATGCGTAGTAATTTGTGTTGATTATATAGAGCCGAAAGCGAGGCTACTGTGTCGCCCGATTTACTCCGATGATATTCAACAGAAAACATACATAAACATCTGTAAAAAATAGTTCATGTCATTTTCTCCTGAATATATCTGATTTTCATAATTTGAAATGTAAATAAATGTAATGATAAAGTAATTTTATTTTGAATTTTAGATTTCGTTAAAAGTAAAACTGAATTATAAAGAACCTCAAAAGTTTTTCGTGTTGGAACTCATTTTCTGTGTAGCGTCATACACTGAAAGAGATACGAACGACAACTCTACATACTGACGGCCAGCGGTGAATCTAGTCTTCTCGACGCCCGGTGCAGAGAATTTATTCAAACTTTTCATGAACATTTCCTTGGTTTAAATTAATTCATTAATGCATTAAAACTTTAGGAAATTTGCGTATTTATTATTAAATCAGCAGTATCACCTTCCAAAAGCGTTAAATCTAGTACTCTGTTTTAAATGTTACTAGTAAAACCAAAAACGGACACCCATGTTTTCGTAAAATCGCGATTAAAAGCAACAAAATGAATTATATTTTTTGATAATAGGAAAACCTCATTTAGATACCAGTTAATTTGTACGCACACAAACTCTCACATATACCACTGTTTTTATGTTTGGTTATTAAATATTTGTTTTTAACTTAAGTTCTGACGTACTCCATGTATAATGTTCGTGTAACTGAAATACATTTATATTCACATAGAAGTTTTATATAACAAACCTGTTTGCTCTTAAAAGAATGCTGTGTTAAAATCCACATTATATCAATATTGATATTATTCCTGTAAAACTGAAGTTTTCATAACACATGGGTAACGGTGCCAAGGAAAAATATACATGTACAGTTGTATAACAAATTTGAGGACTGCATGTGAGCAGTGAATTCTATAAATGATCAACCGCCTCTAATATGAACGTGTTTTGCAATGGAAAAACGAAATTACATGGAGGATGAAAAAGTAATAGAAGGTGCACAACGGCAATATGTAATAAAGATTCTATGATTCTATTATGGCCCATCCATTTTTTTTTTGTCATTCAGTGTCTCTGAATGTCTTTCTCAAGATTGTTGCAACAATAAAAAAAATTGAAACAGTTGTCTTTATTTGAAATAATAATATTGTTTACTCACTTAACCTCCCGATCAAAGATTTTGTTATATGCCATGTTCAACTCCCATGAGTGCGTTCAGTACTTTGATTTAATAAGAGGTTACGCAAATCTTTGCGTACAAATAGAAGATTAAATACACTTCCAGAAATCTGAGTGTTACATTGTTATTTTTTCTATTTATATCCCTTTAAATATAAACTCTAATGTAACTGTTTTGTAAAATGCAGTTTAATTGGCTAAAACAATGGTGTTTTAGGTTGTAAAACGAGCATTTACGAGACTGAGAGCTTTTGTTTGTGACATCACAATAGAGGGATGTAAAACACTACACCCTTTGATGTTATAATTTAACAAACGACAACAAAAAGAGACGTAAAGACCAAACAAAATGCATAAATTGCAGAAGAATTGGAATGTCACCCTCTTCCACAATTTTGAAAGAAGCAATCTTGCTCATAATAAATATTTTAATAACACCGAGTAGCAGATTTCAAAGCATGAATTCAATTTCAGCAGTTGATTAATGCCCCCTCTATGGTATCCCTGACCCAGGGGCCTAGAATTTGAAAATTCCGGAAGAAACACCCTTGCTCATCATAACTATATACATATTTTAGGTAGTTCATCTGCTTAATACCCAGGAACAGAGGAAGAGATTTTTAAAGAATTTACTCATTTTCACTAATAATTTATAAAGGCCCGTTTTAACTCCAAAACCCGACCCTTGGGCCATTAAATTTTACAATTTTGTAAGAAGCACCCTTTGTAATTATTTTATTTAGTATCACGGAGCAGAGAGGATTTTCAAAGAATTGATGCATTTCACAATATAATCAATAGAGTCATGCCCTAACACCACAACCCCTGACCTTGGGGCCATAACATTCACAATTTTGGAAGATTCACACAGGTCCTTATTATCGCTACATCATATATATACACATTAAGTTTCTTGTTTAATTCCCGATCGCACTGAAGAAGACTCTCAAAGAAATAATTCATTTTCACTGTATTTTAGGTCTCCTGAGTAAATTCAGGTGACATATTGCTATCCGTTTTCGTCCGTCGTCGTGCGTCGTCCGTCGTGCGTCGTGTGTTAACATTTGAACATTTTCAGCTTCTTTTCTGCACCCACTGAACCAATTTCAACCAAATTTGGCACAAAGCATCTATGGGTAAAGGGAAACAAAATTTGTGAATTTCATGATCCCTGCCTCCCTGGGGCGTGAAGGGTGGGGCCAAAACCACTAAAATTAATGCAATCTTTGAATATCTTCTTCTTTACTCTTGGACATCAAGCAGTCAAACTGTTTGCATAATTGTAATTAGCATTGAGTCCTCTACCGAAATTGTGAAATTCATAGCCCTAAGGTCAGGAGTGCTAGGGCGGGGCTAAATTTGTATGTAGTGAAAATGCATTATTTTTTGAAAATCTTCTTCTCTGCTCCTGGGTATCAAATAAACCAACTAAGTACGTAGTTATGATGAAAAAGAGTGCCTCTACCAAAATTGTGAATTTTATGGCCCCAGGGTCAGGGGTTCTGGTCTTAAGGTGGGGCTTTATTGATTATATAGTGAAAATAATTAATAAATCTTTGAAAATCATCTTCTTCTCTGCTCCTAGGTATTAAATAAACTAACTAAGTTCATAGTTTTGATGAGCAAGAGTGCTTTTACCAAAATTATGAATTTTATGGCCCCAGGGTTAGGGGTTCTAGTGTTAGGGCGGGGCTCTTTTGATTATATGGTGAAAATACATTAAATCTTTGAAAATCTTCTTCTCTGCTCCTAGGAATTCAATAAACTAACTAAGTACATAGTTATGATGAGCAAGAATGCCTCTTCTAAAATTATGAATTTTATGGTCCCAGGGTCAGGAGTTCTGGTGTTAAAGTGGGGCTCTATTGATTATATAGTGAAAATACATTTAATCTTTGAAAATTTTCTTCTCTGTCTCTGAGTATGAAGCAGATGAACTACCTACCAGTAAATAGTTATGATGAGCAAGGGTCCTAATCTTGCAGATTTTGAAATTGTGAATTTCAAGGCCCCAGGGGCAGGGGTGGGAGGAGGCTCTACTGATATACTGAAAATGAATTAATTGTTTGAAATCTGCTCCTTTGTATTTATAAAACATTTATTTATTTTTTGATAGGCAATTTTAAGGGTGCCTTTTAACTTTTGTGCAATATGTGGACCTAGGGGTCAGGGGTTTATGTCACAGTGTTAGGGGCACTACTGTTTATTGCTGAATATTACTGATTAGTTGGAATGGATTTCTGTTCTATCCTGCGTATTGGTACTCAGTAACCAAGCTAAGCAATTACTAATTGTATTGTTATAATGATCAATGGTGCTTCTTTCAAAATTGTGAATGCCATATAGCATCTGGCTTAAAACATGAATCAAATTCAATATGCTGAAACTGGAAAGTTGTTGGATAATGCTCAGGTGACCTATAAGGCCCGTGGGCCTCTTGTCTATATATAGGCCCACCATAGCACTAGAACCCATGATCCTTGGGCCATGAATTTCAAAATTTTGATAGAGGACCCAATGCTTATTACAATAATACTAACATTTTGACCCACCCCTTAAAGCCCCGTGAAGAAAGAGGGTGCAGGGACCATGAACTTCACTAATTTTGT